ATTGTTCTCTCCCTTATCTCTCCTTCTATGATCATCTTTCAACACCTTTTAATAACCCCCCCCTATTATATTTTTTCCATTTCATCCCAACGGTTCTCCTGGCTATATCCATGCATGCCCTCAGACAAGGAGAGATGACAGAAAGGCAGAAAGGGAGATGGAGCAATAACAAATGTGACATGTTTGATTCTTTTCCCACCCCTATGCATGCTCTCTTCTGCTCTTTCAATGTATCCCACAGAGGACAGCAACTTAGATTCAGTAAAACACAAAAATTACTTTCTGTGATTGACCTTCATCTGCTGTGGCCGAGCAGGGTGATAAAGAAAAAGACGACAGGACAGCTGGTCCTCCAATTACAGTTTCTAAGATGTCTGTCTAGGTCACTGACTCTCCCTTACTATCTGTCTCTTGTATTGTTGTGTCTTTGTTTGTCGTTCACTCCGAGTCGTGGTTGTGTGTCTCTCTATTTCACATTCCACCTGACCTGCTGACAGTCTCATTAGATGTTTGTTCATCTTATTGGCTGTCTGTAGCCACAATGCAACAGTCTCCCATGATTTACATTCATATGTACAGAGTACATACGTTCAGACGTACAAAATTGGTATTAAAGCGGATTCAAGTTTGTTTTTTAAGTCAGTGTTGACTTCCAAAACCTTTACAAATCGCTTCGAGTTGTCTTACCATGACCATAAAAACTCAAAATATGTTTTAGTAGTCAAGTGTATAATGTAGAAAAAACATTAGCTGCAGATATGCTTAAGTTATATGTTGATATTTAACTATTTGGGAGGCACAAAAGGTAACCTGTGGAGTTTTCTAGAAAACAATTAGTTACATTTACACATTGCGTGTATCTTTGAAGAAATGTGTTGAATGCATTTCCTTCCTCATAAAAAAACAATTGCAAAGCCATTTTTCCCCTCACTAATAAATACAAATTCTTGCTAGCTTGCGGTCTTCTTCTCCTTTGCTTCTTCATGTCATGTAACCGCTGCCAACTGTTAATCACTGGAATAGTGTGAAACCATGTTGCTGCATGCTTGTGTGCATGCATGAGATACAAACAAAATGGAAATGTTGCTCAGTAGCGCTACTAGTGGTCAAAAACTCCACGGGGTACCTTTAAGTTTCCACCAAAATGTGTGAAAGCTGAAGCCAAATGCTGACACATGAATGTAACTGTTGGGAGACAACTGCATAATGCCAAAATGTTTGAAGTTTGTTGTATAAATGATGAGACTTCTGCTGCATGTTAACATAACCGCCATATTTTGTTTCTCTTTCTTCCTGTCTGTCTCTCTTTGTTTCTCTCTCTCTGTATGTGTGTCTCCTCCTGTTCATCAGTCTCTCCAGCAGCACTGGCACTCCTCGATGGCTGTCCTCCGATACAGCGTATACTGTAGTTTAGCTTAAGGCTCGATTGTGTGTCCAAGAAAGTCAACGGTATTTCCACTCTCCTCCTTTAGTCATCCCTTCTTCTTCTGTTTTTTTTTTTAAAGCGTGCTTCATTCAGAGGGGTGACGCCACGAGCGGCGGATAAAAGGCAGGATGATTCATCACTCAGTCCGTTCTCCACCCTGCCTCTTTTAACACTTGTTCTGACCCACTGTGCACATACACAGCTCTTTGGCAATCCATAGGTTGCAATAAAACAATCACTGACATTTTGTTCACACAGTGTCTGTCCATCATTTGGGCATCATACAGTCTGAAAAGCAAAAAAATATAGATATATACCAAAGACAAACCCTATAATACTGAATCTAAAGCACGACTCCATAACAGCATGTTAGATTTAGATAAATCTCTGATTTTCTGTCTTCCATCTTCCTTTACCATTCCTCTACTCTTTTAAAAGACTGATCATCTATAGTGGAAAATGTGTGAAGATAGAAAATGGCTGAAGTAACAATTAAGACCATGAAGTCCAACACAATGCTAAAGAAAGTCTAAAAATGGCGTAAGAGCTCTACAGGGCGGCTACGAACTGAAGCTGGCATTTCTTTAACTTTTTTTTCCAGACACAAGTCTAAAACATAACAAAAACAGTCACCATTACTCTTCTATGCCACTGGTTTCACAAAGCGCAGACCAAGAGCAGACAAAGGAGCGAGCGAGTGCCATGTGGCGGGCTAATGGACATTTGAAAGTCCCAGAACTCATATCTAAAACTTTCAGAAACAAAACAAAAAGAAAATGTCCTTTTTCATCCTCTTTTTCTTCTTCACCTTCAGAAATCTAGACTCATTAGAGTAGTGTGGGTTTGATATCTTTTAAACTTCTTCAGGGGGATAGGCATTCGCTTGATATGTGTTGATTTCAGTCACAAGTACCCACATTAAATGGTCCACTGGTGCTGAAGTCTTCACCAACAGTCAGAAGCTGGAGTTTTTTTTTTTTTGTATTTCAGCATGCCGTCTCGATTGGCCACATTCAAATTCAAGCCGATGAGGACAAAATGACTTCTGCAAAGTAGTTAATGCAATTCTCTTCTTCATTAAGAATTCCATTATCAACATTTTAACCAAACACCCCAGACTGTGCTGTCATTTGTGGTCCAAATGTCCAGATTGTCAAGGGTGCTGTAGTCTTTCTCCTCGCTTCATTGCAGTGGCGGGGGTTTGTTATATTCTATGGTAGATCTGTCATTCATATTCATTCCTTCATTCATTCACAGGCTTTTTATCGAGCAGGCTCTCTCCTGCAGGCGGAGGAGATGTGGTACTGTGGGAAGGGGGGAACTGGGGTCAGGTGTTCCCCCAGTTTAGGCCTCATAGCATGTGGGGGATATCAATGTCACAAGTTCCCACTGGCACACAAATAGGGGGAACTCTGGGATGAATGTTACCCCTTTTAGACATCAGAGCAGGATATTAGGAAAGTTGACACTGGGGATTAAAATAACAGATAGTGCTTCCTTTTTGTGTTTTCTTTGTCCAAACCGAGAACAGAACAAATTTACTTCTGCAGGAGCTCACGGGACGTGTCTTTCCCCCCATCGTTCTCTAGAATTCTCCTCCTCGTCTTCATGCCTCTGAGCAGCACCTCTGCTGGTTTATCTTCACTTTATGCTTAATCCCGTCGTACAACTCAAAGTTGTAGTTCTCCAGTGTCGTGGAGGAGCGCGAGGAAAGGCCGCTGTAGGAGCACGTGCAGTAGAGGAGCAGTCCTGCGCAAACGGCACCCATCAGCACGCCCAGCGAGCTCATCACGATGATGGTGAGGAGGATGGGGTCCAGCGTGTACAGCCAGGCGTTGTCCTTGTCTTTCTCTGACACCAGGGTGACGGAGGAGGGGTCCACATCAGAGGAGGAGGGGGTTGAGAAGGACGGCCAACCTGGGAAGACATAGTCTGGAGACAAAACAGGAAACTTTAGAGAAAATATCTAAACATAATTAAGTTTAAGAGCAATATAATAATCACTGTGATTTACTACAGATAATGGTAAATGTTAAAATTGTAATGTAATGGGAGCACAAGCTGAGAAGTCAGAAAGTCAGAACCGACTCAGTAATGTCACTTATACAGCAATGTCTATCGTAAATTAGCTAGCATTAGCCACAACAGGCTACTGCTTATTCCACACTCAGTCAGGCTGTAGCAGCAAATCCCTTGAGTTTAATGAACTGAGCAAGGGTGCGTTTTACTGCTTATGGATTACATTTTCAATGTTGGATTGTGGTTTTTCTTCCTTCAACAGTCGCATAGCCTCGCTTTAAGAATTCAACTGTATCGGAGGCAAATATCCCGACGTCATGGCCGATTAATTCAAGAACAGCTAATTCTGTTACGCCAGTTGTTATTGTTGACTTCATAAGTTTGGAAACATAATGCAAATAATTACTTTTAAGGTTCTCTCCGGTGTGTCTTGTGTGTGTTGAAGTGTGCACATCTAGCTGGCATAAAAGCGATCAGGCTAATCCACTTAATGAATGTATACACATGAACAAGCCAATCCGCAATTAGGTACTGCATTTAGAGTGTTTTATGGCAGAACACAGTACACAGACACACACACAGACACACACAGCGGAAAGCAATAAACAGACAGTAAACAGACTTGTTTCGTGAGGTAAAGGCTGAGTACACTTCTTGTATCTGTCAAGGGGCTGGGAGAAACAAGGGATAATAACACATGCATGTGGACACACACACACACGCATACATAAGCGGAAAGTAAACCGTGATTGTTACAGACAGATGTTGTCTAGGTGCCCAGGAGGAAGGTGTCTGTCTCACTTTGTCTGCCACAGAACATGAAAGAGGAGGAGAGGAAACACACGCTAACATGCCCACATGCACACACACAAACGCACTTTTGGATTCTCCCTCACACTCTTACTGTCTCTGCACACTGTCTCTCTCTCTCTCTCACACACACACACACACACACACACACACACACACACACACACACACACACACACCAGAGGTTGTCTGTCACTGTTGCCACAGGCTTTTTTCTTGTGGAATCACAAGTAAAACGAAGAGCCATGGGCATGCCTCTGCTTTAAGAGCTATTTCACTAGTATTTGGGTGAGACTTGTAAAACGGCCAGTGCAGCCTCGGGCTGAGACGACAGGGAGAGAAGGGGACTTCAAACCTCACCTCCATTGTTGGGGGGCTTGTGGTTGTAAACATGATCGTTTCCAAAATCCATGGGCCTGGGATCTGTTAAAAAGATCAGAAGAGAACAGTATTAATCTCAAACATCCAGTCAAGCCAGAGCTACTCAAGAGTCCACAACATGTTGTGATACCATCACTCCATCCCTTATGTTGTCAGCTCACAAGCTACATTTGTAGATGGAAATCAAACTACACAAACAGCTGAAAGAGTTCAAAGAGTGAGGGATCTTGTTCAGACTGTGTGAAGATATCAGGCAAAGAGATCGCCTACAGTTTAAACCGTGTTATTTATTTATTTAGAGAGAGAAAGAGAGAGAGCGAGAGAGAGAAAGACTGAACGGTGAAAAAAAAGATACCCACAACCGTTTCATAGAAAAATATCACTTTTATTACCTTCACATTCCCCACAATATATTTTCTTTTTATTCCAAGACCATGAAATTCAACAAGCTAAAATACCACATTCTATTTCGGAGGCAGGCCGAAGTGCAAGGCTTTAAAGGGTCTGGAAGCTCAACTCTGCTGCAATTCAGTTTTTATTCAAGGCAAATTATTACAATCCTCAGAAAAAAAAGAGCAATATCTGAGCAGCTGATAATCATTTATTGCTGTGGCAAAGCAACCAAAAATGTATTATGGAGTGAAACCGTAATAGATATTTAAAGGACATGAGGTGAAAAACTAATTTAGTTGATGTGAAAAAAAGATACGGAGCCTCATTTCCTCAGTTAGATAAGGTCAATTTTTTCTATGAGACAATTTTAACATGTGGCATCCAGACTTACGTCTTCTACAAACAGCCTTTACGAACTTCCAATACTCTCCCATCTGTAAATGATAAGAGGTGAATACTTTTAAATGACACCTGCTATCTGTGAAATGAAGATATCTGCTCATGTATTAAATATGAGGTAACTTCCTTGAAGTTAAAAAAGTGAATCAATGAAATCTTTAATTGTTTAAAATTGACCCAAAGCTGGCTTCCAAACCCAATTAGAGAATAAACAAAATAAATTACAGCAACCAATAAACCCTACGCTGAATGGAGCGTATTCATTCTCCGATGTTGATGGTTGTTGGGAATTTGATTATTGGATTGAGCATGTGTGCCTCGGGGTTTTGTATGTTTCTCCGGAGTTCAATATTTAATTTGCTTTAAGTGCACAACCGTAAAATCCAGCGCAAGTCAAACAGACAATCATAAAGTTGAGGTCTTTCTTTCACAGAGGCAGAGAGGAAATACATCAATGAGGTGGCTGAAGCCAGGGATGAACATTTAAGCGGTTTACCACTTCAAGGCTGGTTTTGTTGAGCTCGAGTCTAAACTAGTCACAGTTTGAATTTAAAACTAGTTGAAGTTCATCCCTTGCTGAGGCCATGTTCCAGAAAGGCCAGTCTGTGCTGCATCCAACAGATTTACATGAAGAAAGGTTTCTGATCAGTAAAAAAAACTCAATTATTTGAACAAGAAATCAAAGAACAATAACATAATCGATTCATTTGATTAAAAATGACATCATCAAGGTAGGTTTTACAAAATAAATCGCACTTTACCCCTAAAATGTGAGATTTCACATCACCGAAATTGAGGGCGAAAGGGGAGAAATGAGAACAAAGGAGCACACGCCTAGAAAACTTCAACATGTCTTCAAATGTTTGTCTGAACCACCCAACTAAATAAAACAATGCTGTCATGTTATTATATATATTAAAAAAAATGCTGTTACTGTGCAGAATGGGCAGTTTGCCCTCAAACACCTGCTTAGCTGGATATGGCTAATCCCAGTAGTCACGCTGTAAATTACATTATCTTCTGGAACTCTTACTGAAATGCACTCGCCATATAAGACTGCACTTAGTGTAGTACATGCACATGGAAGCATCTAATCAGTCTTCTGGTACATGTACGGTCTCACAACAGACCCTCAGGGCTCTAACTTATCCTTTCTCACAGTCAACGAAACATTAACTCAACGGGAGAAAAGCAAAAGAAGCAGGATAAAGAAAAGACAGATGCTCGGACACTCTTTGGACGACTGTTGAACACTTTCTAATGATCCTGGCTTAAAGCCCGAAGGCTCGGATCCTGAGAAGAATCATCACGCGGATCTGAAAGGAGATTAAAACTCCCTGTAGCCCCATTTTATCTCCACTCTCCAATTAGCAAAGAGAGGAATAAAAAGAGGGCTTTTTTAATTCAGGAAAAGACATGGATGGCTCTTTGGCACCATACGCTGTTCCAGTGGGGGCCCGAGGACCTGTTAGAGTGCTTTCACTCGTAATATTTCTCCAGGAGCAGAGGAGGAGGGCAGAAAAAAAAAGAAAGGCCTGAGGGCTAGAAATGCTTACCGCAGGGTTTTATGAATGCAATAAGCTCCATTAACTAATTAGAAATATTAAAGGGCTTCAAAGTAGTCTGTGATGGAGAAAGGAGAGCGAGGTGAGGGGAGGTTGATTTAAAAGCGCTGCGTGAAGAGACGCCAGCACATTTTCCAAGTCTTGCAAAAAGTTTGACGGAAAGAGAGAGAGAGAGAAAATGAAAGAGAAAAAGTGCACGGGTAGCACAACATAAATACAGTCATATATCATTTCTCTGTTTGAATTTCGGACCTACATTGATTGGGTTACAGCGCAGGGCCGCTACAGTGAGTCATGTGATGTGTAAATCATGCACAAGTCGATTGAAATGGAAGGGAGAGGGATATGAAAGCATAATATAACGAAAATACTTGTTGACTCAAGCACAAAACCACATTTTACGAGACACAATTTGATGGAACAAGTCAATATGGAGAGCTGCAGGTTTGTGTTTGTTAGATTGTGTGCGCGCAGTGAGTTGAATGTGTGTCTCCATCACACTGTCCATTCTGCCAAAAGACTTCTTTCATCTGCTTTTGTGTTTGAAACAACCTGCCCTCCTCCTTCAAGTCTTTCCCTCCTTCAATCCAAACTGCAACCTGCCTCCCTGTCAGCCTTCCTCTCGGAGCAAAAGAAAAATCTATCTTTAGAAAGTATAGAGAGCAGTTTTTTTTTTTTCCAAAACTTCTTTCATCTTCCTCCATCTCTGGGCGCATTCTTTGGAGGGAAAGGGGGCTCGCTTAATGGGCCCTGCTCCTCAGAGATGTTGCTCTCCTCCTTTTCTGCCTCTCATTTTCTCTCCAGTTTTTTTTTACTGGGAGGATTTGCAACGAAGGGAAGGAGTAGAATAGGAACAGGCGGGTTTTGATAAAAAAGGCTGGGGGATTTGAGCATGAACAAAATGGTGCAGGGGGGGGGGGGGGTTGTGGTAGCACACAACATAAAATGGTGAGCTGCTGAGAATCCCAGGAAATAAGCACCACAGTGGTGCGCCCAGTTTCACAGGCGTGGATCTGACTAGAAGTTGATACTGGGCTTTTCAAACCAAAACCAAGCAAATTAAATGACACTTTTTTTTAACATCATCTGAATCAATATCCCATAACATGTTGATTTGCATCCATTTTGAACCTCTATGTGATTTAAGCTTGAAGCTGGACGCTTTAAATGAGGGACAAACATTTTTTGTTGCAAAATGGCTTCAACCTAAGTAACGTTGTTAAGATCATCTCAGTGAACACAATCAACATAACTGTTGCATTAAAACAATAGTCAGCGAGTAGAAAAAAAATGAACATTGTATAACTATTATACATCAGAAGCACATGTAGGCATCCTGTTACAAGTAATTGCAAAGAAAGAAGTTCTATTTAATTCAAAACCAGTAGAGTACTCAACGTACAGATTCTATTAAGATTCACAGTAAATGTAAGAAATTGTAACAAATCATCAAATACTTCAATAAATCATCATCGAGAAGCAGAAAGGTGCTATTATTACTCTCAACATTGCAAAACATCGTAATCGCATCGTAAACCCATCTGCGTAATATAAAAACACACGTAAGGTGAGACAGATGATTAAGAAAACATCTGCGTGACGGTAGTGCTGCACTGGAATCCGTCTTATTTGACATTTCATAGGGAATGAAATGATACAAATAAATGACTGGTGATCCTGGATCAGTGTTTTTTTTCTAAAATCCTTCATGAGTAAGCAGCTCTTTCCCACAGCATTTATTTGATCTCACCTGTTGAATAGAAGCCAAACTGAGCAGCCAAGTGGACCACATTGTCAGGTCACCAGGCTAATATGCAAAACATTCTGATTTTCACAAATTATTGATTTGTCATAGGATGACACGCAAAAAAGATCTAACAGAAAATATTTAAACTTGCACAGACTTGAAAGAAAAGTAAGACTGCGTCTTTAGATACTCAACACATATGATTTTTGATTTGTTTCATTCATCTGGTCTGTGTGTGTGCAGGACATACAACGATGTTTGATTTGAACATTAACAGACAGGCATTAGATTATTTATATGATCAAGGCAAAACTGTATAGAGTCCATTCATACTCCGATTTGACACTGAGGCACCACCTCGTTCTGGAGGCGAAGAGGTAAGAGTTTTAAAGCACATTTTTAAGAAAGGCATATCAGCATGTTTTGAAGAATGCACTCGGGGTAACACGCCAGACTCAATTATTAGCCGCTGAAAAGTTTTTAAGTGTCCGTGCATATGTGTATGAGACTTTTGAGCCTTTGTGTGTTATGATGCCGAGACAGTGTTTTGTTTCTAGGTCTGCAGGATGCAATGTAAGCTGTCTCATCCTATTCCCCCCCCCCCCCCCCAGTGTAAACCAGACAGAGAACAGCACAACACTGATTCCCCGTTCACAGACCAAAGGAGCCACCCACACTGGATGTGCAGCCGTCTATCTATCACGGCTGGACGGCAGCACTAATTCTCCCCACACCTCTTCCTTCTCTGTTCTTAATCTGTCTCTCTCGCTCTCGGTCTCTCAAAGGCTAGTGGACAAATAAACAGCAGCTTCATTCAGACCCAGAGAAATAGACTTCTTTCTTTATGCAGCACACACTTCTATCTCCCTGTACCTCTGTGTAAATCCCTTCTCTGTCGGACAGAGTATTTGGAGGCAGGCAGTGTCCAAGCTGCAGATCAGAGCAGAGCAGACAGACATTTCCTGCTTTGTAGAAGAAGAAAATATGCTGTTTCAACGCTGCATGTACATATGTTTTGTCCACAGTTTGTTAGGCAGTCTTCATGTCCAGGCTACCAAGTTGGGGTGCAGCTGTAGAAGCCAGTGGGCTCTTAAGTTCATCAAAAAAAGTGGCAATGTAATGTTGTTATCAGGCCCTCATCAGCCTTCACAATTGGCAATTAAAGTTCTTTCATCTACTCTCCCCAGCGATGGTGAAGTTTTCACAATTTCCTTCTGCCAGTGGCAGCCGACAAGGAAGTTTAGCAAAGGTGCATGCTGATCAGTTAATTAGATCAGTCATCAGCAACAGGAGCTGCAGTGTCTCTTCTATGTAGATTCTCATCATGCTGAACACTGCTGTTGATCATGTATTTCAGGGAGTTTTGACACCCTTTAAATTGCTTTTTTTGAACAAAGCATTCTAATAAAATGATATCATTCACATACAGTCCAGTTGTTTTCAACACTGGGAATCACATCCGTCGTCTTTCTCCAGTCTGATGGTGAGCATGGGGTCAAGAATTGGCCCGGTACCTGGGTACAGGTGGTTTTGGTTCGGGCTCTGGACCAGATTATAGCTGAGGTTTTGGTTCTGGTAGCAGTTTTGCTGACTTGGCTGATTTGGATGCTGGCTGTTGTGGTACATCACTGAATGATGATGACTAGCGCTGGTCTTCTTGGGCGCCCAGTGGTACCGATGGCAGCACAGTGTCACCACCACGGTTACAGTGACCAGCAGCAAGAGGGCAGCACCTCCCGCCAACACATAGTACCAGTAGGCAGGAACGGGCTGCACCGCCACTGTGTCTACTGTGGGCTCCATCCCAGACATGGCACCCCCTGGAGGGCAGGAGGACACATTACTGGTTGGCACTACGGACGAGGGAGGCAGGCATGCAGACCCAATTGGAGAGTCAAAAGCTGTCTAATTGACTGTTCTCGAAACCCCTCCCCCAGACAGTGATTCTCAAATCATAGCTTAGCAACCTTTACTAGGCATCTGTCAAGCTTTAGATTTCTGCATATGCTGAATCAAGTGTGTTATTTTGTAGCCCTTCCAAAACCCACGAGTAAACAAATAAGGAATGGATTAAACAAAGTGTTTCTCTGCGCTATCGTAAGATGGAAGAAGGACATAATTGAGCTGCAATTATGTCCCTTGCTGTTATTCAACTAAACACAATATATAAGATCTACTGCAGGCAAAACAACTTCCAGATGTAGCTCACTTTCCCGATATTTAAACACCCAACTGCATACTCCAAGTCATCTTCAATCTTCATTCTTTATCAAAAAAATACTGATGCATGTAGATTATGCTGTGTTTTTGGCTGATGCAAACAACACAACAATTAGCTGCACATTGACAGTAAGAGGCTCATGCGATGCGTTCAGATTCGATCGGAGAATGCAAAGCCTTGATTATGCAGTGAGTGGCAGAGTTGGACAAAGGGTGGAGAGTGTTAGGTGGTTGTATTCGGCAGGACGCAGCTGCTTTTATCCGGGCAAGATCACATTGAAGGGAGTCGAGTGGAGGGAGAAATAGATGGAGAGGGGACATCAGAGGGAAATTACAGAAGGGAAAAGGAGGCATTATAGGAAGAAAGAATGGAGTGAAAGTGAGGAGAGAGGGTGGGAGGGAGGGGGAGTGAAGGGAGAGAGCTAATCCTGCCATGATATCTTTAATCCTGCATTAGAGGGTTTGTCTGAAACTTCAATACTCTGTCAACTCACCGTGAAAGAAACCCGCTGAGAGAGAGGTTGTGGAAGAAAGAAAGACAGAGAGAAAGAACGGGAGAGAACGGAAGAAAGATAGAACGTGAAAAAGAAAAGAAAGGTCAAAAGAAAGAGGAAATAGAGTAAGGAAATAGAGAAAGCAATAAGTAGATGGAGACGAGATAAAAGAGAGCAATAATGAAAGGACAGATGCAGAAGAGGTGCAGAGAAAGACACAGAACCTCAAGGAAACCAGTGAGCTTAATTTTGCCTTTAACAAGAAGTTCAGACGAACTCTTTAAGGGTTTAAAATTGGCTTTGATTGTAAAGCTGTGCTCTAAGCAGCCTGAGCAGAGAGCCTTTGCATCAGTGGATTAAGACACAGATGATTTCTAGGGCTGCAAAAATTGACCGTTACTTTGCTTTTTTCTTCATCGAAAGGGGAACAAAGAGGAAATGTTCTCAAGAGCACCACTCCTAACGTGAGCTAAAAAGTGTGGCTTTCAAGGAACCTTGGTTACTAGAGTTTCTGAATCACTCATCTTTTTCTCATTCAAGGTCTAACACTTTACACATCAACAACCTTTCCTTATCTGAAATGAGATAAAGTGGAGCTGAAAGTGTGAGAGCTCTCTAGTCAAACTGAAGCCAGAATTAGCTTCTTTTCTGTGTGTGTGTGTATATATATATGTATGTATGCATGTGTACGTGTAGCATGATCGGTCAGTGTGCCTCCTTGTTTGCGATGGATACAAAAACCCAACACAGTGGTTCACGTCACACCACAATGAAGCTGCCATTGTACCGTTAGCCGAGGATCGCATCAGGCGATAATCACACATTACACTTTACATTTGATCGACAGATCTCCTGAAGTTTCTCCATTAATGTGAGATTTTGGGTCGATTCATTCATTTAATTTAATATATTTTTGGTAGCTTTTCTCCCCCGTGCACTCGCCATTTTATCGATGATGAAGATTATAATAGGATACAATTCAAATACATTGGTTGCTGTAATTAATTCCTAAGGACACTGTATTCCTCCTCACACGTCCTCACTATGGATGGAGTCAATCTGACTTCTTGATTTAAATGAATTGAATTTAAATGATCTTCTAATAATAACTCACCTGCAGGATTTAGCAAAAACCACAGAACCCTGCTGTGCAGAGCCACAACCCACACACTCATCAAGTATCCACATCAAGACACACACATATAAGTAACAACTGAAACATTTATATGTAAATAGTATATTAACAATCTATGCAGTAAGTTTTGAATAGAGTTCAACACTTCACTTCTTAGCTGACTTTTCAACAGGCGTCTCAAAGGAGATATTCAATCCCTCTCTCCGGGGCTCAGTCTCGTGAAAACATACGTGTGTGAGAGCCGACACTGTTGTCATGCTGCGAGTCATATGATACCTGCTCAGGATCCAATATTCTAAGCACCCGCAAGCATTAGGTCAAATATTTAGCGTACGAGTCTGGTGAGAAGAGTTTCCTGAGTTTGGCTCTTGGCTTTTACTATATTTGGGATTGCTATTCTTGTTTATTATTAAATTGAATATGGTGAACAAAAACAAAGTGCTGCTCAAGCACCTGACAGTATTCAAAGAACGTTTTTGATCTATTCACACACTAGGAACACATGGACACTCTCTCTCTCACACACACACACACACACACACACACACACACACACACACACACACACACACACACACACACTGAATTGACTCAATAACTGTACGCATCCAGCATCAGTAATATGGATGCAAGCCAAACTTAGTTCCACAACTATTTTTGTGCTTTAACCCCCAGTTTCGAAAACACGTGTCCTCGCCTCTACAGTAATAAAAAAGTAATCAGAGACATAAATGTGATCACAACCATCCATGATCAATGTGGACACTAATGACCAAATGCAAAAATAAAAATACACACAAAAATATGTCTTGATATACTACTCAGAGTGGTAAAATAAAGTACATATTTTCACTTTTTAGGTCCAACTTTGAAGAAATTCAGTGTCACTAAGGCGCTGGCTCTTTAAAAATGCCCATGTTAATATGTTGTGGGTGTCTAAACAAAAGCAGTCTGGCATTTTAGGTCACAACCCAGACTTTGAAAACAAGCGATCCAGTAGCATAATCTGCCTAAGCCCATTTTATCTGTTTTGAGACTGGCCTATTTAAGGATGAAGGAGGGGGAAAAGGAAAAAGGGGAATAAATGGTGAACAGGGGGGCAGAGGAGAGGAGAGGAGAGGAGAAAAAACCTAAAAACAAATGGCAAGAAAGGGAATGAAAAAGACTGGTTGAGATGAAAGTAGAGAAGCAGAAAGAAACGGGAGCAAAATATTGAAAAGGGCAGAAAATTGTAATAAGAAGAAGTAGAGACTAAGAGAAGGAAGAAAAGAAGCTCCTCGTATGGCGTTGAATGAAGAGAGAGAGAGAGAGCTTACATGGTGACAGCAAATCAGGATGGAGGAATGAACGAGGAGCGAATGTGTGCTGATCTCTACAATGAGGAAGTAGTTAGAGTTGGACTGAGTTAAGAACACAGAAGTTCTTTTAGTTTCAATAATAACCAAACAAAACCACTGGATGGGGACTGTTCAGCCATCACCTCATGATTTTTACCTCTGCTCCTATGTCACCTTTAAATTAATTTACCATACGAGCAAGTATTTCAGTAATTTGCTGTGCCCACTATAGGCACACTCACTGTGTTGCATACATGTATACCAGTAACAGATCACACACACAACGTGTTGCACACCATTATAGACTTGGAGAAGTCTGTGGGAAGTGCAAACGCACCCTGATGTTACTCTGTTGGAATTGCACATTCCAACATTGCTATATTGCGGCCTGCCAATGTTGTTGTAGTAAATAATCATGTGTAACTATGTGTTTATGTTAGCAGAAAATAGTAATTTTCTCACTGAGGAACAGACCAAACTACACCAAGAATATCAGCCCAGCATGCAGGGAGTCATGCTGAAACAATGCAGTGGATCCATTCCGTTAAATTGCCATTAGTTTAATAAATGTGGATAAAGTCCACATATCAAAATCCATCAATAAAGGATATCATCTTTGACTAGTTGGAAATGTTATACATATGTAGTTATATGTAAATATTACACATTGTATTTAATAGTGTAATAGCTTGATGGCAGAATTTTCAGTCAGTATAAGTGTGGTCAATGTAGGCAACATATATTATGCACTATCGAGGTCACTCGGGGCCAGTGCAGTGCTGCGAGCTGAGCTTAGCAACAAGCAGAAAGCACAGACATTTGGCACAGGAAGTACAAATGGAACAGGAAGTAGGACTTACTGGTTATGCCCGGATTTAAGGCGGGGAAAGGCTCTGGAAGAAGAGAGAGAAAAAGAAATGTTATTGATGATGGTTAAGAATTAATATGTGTGATAAAGCGTCGAAGGGATAAGGGATGTTCTGAACCGCTGTGATATGAATCTCATTCGGTGATTAAAGTTCAGATGATTGGTACGCAGTGTGAGTTCACTGCAGTTGCTTCGGAACAGGACTTTGGATTTCATCATCAATTGTAGTTTAAGTTTTCTACTGTCTGCTTCAAGGTAGAATTTTTTTATACTTACGTTAGGAATACGTAATATTATAAAGTAATATAACGCTGCTTTGTCTATCACTTTCATCTTAAGAGTTTCAAGGGTTGGTGCTTACAGCACAATACAGTGTGTGAGAGGCCTCGGTGTCGTGTAATGAATAAGCTCAACCATCAGGATACAATATGAGCGTGACATGATTTTGATTGAATACATTTATTTCATTCTAAAGTAGCCCTTTACTAAAATGAAATACAGCACCAAATATATCATGTTCGGGACTTTGCTTATTCTCAGTGTACGGTGGCATATTTCCATGATTAAATTGACATGGAAAAACTATATTTCTGATGATTAACAGAAATGCATTTCAATGCAGCTGAATCGCAAAACTGCAGGACGCCGCACTTTTTGCGAAGGCACGCGTTTCTCCTTTTTGAGAAAATCAATAAAGATTTGTCGAGTTCCGAGATGATATAGGAGTCTAAAAGCCCATAAATCTTCCTGGATGACAGTCATTTTCACAAAATGGAGAGAAAATAAAGAGAGGGAGACAAAAGGGTGGATTGCATGGGTTAAAAGACAGGAAGCATGTCGTCCCCGAATGTCTCTCTCTCTCTTTGTGTGTCCGTCATTTTTGACTTGCACTCACTTTCTTTTCTTTGCTGTGTCATTTATGTCTCTCCTTCCTGTGAATGCTCTCTAACTCTCTTTTCGTAAGGTGACACAAGAGGTGTCAATGGCAGAAGAAGAAAGAAGTGGGTGGATGGAAGATAGGGGTGAAAAGAGTGAAGGAAGGGTGAAGAGAGACGGGAAATAGAGGACTGGGAAGGAAGGGTGGAGGTAAGTTAAAGGGTCATGGGAACAGGGACTGAAATGTACTGCTGTTTATTATTTGCCGGAGGATACGACATCAATTATGAAAGTGAGAGAGAGGGACACAGAGGGAAAACAAGAGACAATGGCAGCACAAGTAAAGTAAAGAAGAAAAAAAGATAATATAAGGTGTGAAGGAGTGGGTGATGAAATAATGAGAAAAAAATATGAAAAGAGAATGGTGGAAACATATTGGTGGGAAAAGTAAAAGAGGTAAGAGTAAACATGTGCCCAGATAGAACGGCATAGCGAGAAGCGTCATTCACAAAATGTAGTGACAATCACCTGTCATCCGAGACATCAAACTCAAACCACAGAAAGAGTTACAACATTGAAAAGTCCAGAGCGCACAAAATTAGTCGCGTGCCACATATAAAATTGTGAAGAAGTTCTTTAAAACGTTAATCAGTTATAGCCATTGACACAGAATTATGAGAGAAATTATACAATTATTATTAAAAAGGTAATCCAGAAATTTAGCATTGCACTTTCATTAAGTCGGGGACTTTTGAGAGACGAATTTAAATAAGAATGGTCAAAGTTGAAGCAGCAGAGGCCAAGATATCCAGTCTTTTAGTTCCTAGACTCAGCCGAAAAACGCTGGATCCTTCAATTCCCATAATGCAACACGATAGCTGTTTTTATTAGGTCCGTCCTGCCTGTTAAAAGCCCTAAGTGAGATTACCTTGGTGAAATCATCAATGCGATTGATAAAGGTTCTCCAAAGCCACAGAAGACGTCATACAACTGTTAACACAGGCTAAGAATTCCCCCTCATGGCTTTATGTGTAAAATCAGTAGAATTCCCATTCAAAATATGGTGTCAGTAAAACATACCATAAGCCCAACTGAACAACTGGAGACCTCGCCGTGATTTTAATGTGGTGGACACGGATTTAAATGAAAGAGAAGCTGGGCAGAGATTAGACGGATTAACACCAGGCTCAATTAAACCGGGTTGAAAGTGAAGCAGCTTGAAATGTGGAAAGCCGGTTTACAAGAGTTTTTGTGTGTCTTCATAAGTAATGGTTATTGATGTAATACAGCGGTGGTAGTTTTACGTCATTATATTGTGTGGTCACATCATGGTAACTATCACTGTCCTGCTGTGCTGAGTGACGGGCTGCTTCATTACATAAAATGATAGTAATGATATTCATATTACTTCCCATGGCAGAGAGAGCAAACCGCGTGTGGAAAATATGTTTGTCAAACAAGGCAATGTGAAGGATTTAAAACCTAATCCTGTGTCTAGTCTGCACTTTTCCGTAACAGTAATAACTGAAGCCAGTCAGTATTAACATCAGCTTGTGTGTAAGAGAGAGACAGGCAAAAAGAATAATTACATGAACATGCACACATGTTCTTTTGATGCTCTATGGCTCAGCGATGGCCCAGACTGATTGACTGAAAGACAAGGCTAGGGACAGAGAGAGAGAGAAGGCGAGAGAGAGAGGAGAGAAAGCACCAGAAGAATCGTAAAGGGAGGGGTGGGGCTGTATCGAAAAACACTGAAGGAGATAGAGAGAGGGAGATATGAAAGATAGATTAGTATCCATGCCCAAAGGCCGTTTGTGGCCTACTTTCTTTTTATATATATATATTTTTTATGTGTGCGTGTGTCTATGTGTGTAAACGAGAAACATTAAGTTTTTATCCCTTATCTCTCTCTCAACCGGTCTCTGGTGAGAACATGGTGTAAAGGAGTGGGGGAATCAGGCAGATAGATAATTGTATGGACAGACGGACTGACTGAATAAAGCTCGACATCTTGATAAACAGGTAGACAGACAGGTGGTGGGACTTACGTGTACACTGCTCCAGCTCGATGCTGCTGCTCATGTGGATGTTATCTATTCTGATGTGGCCTCTGGTCGGGTGATCGAAAAAGCCCTCGAATGCCACCTAGATTATGGAATAAGAGAGACATATTACAATAAGCTTTTCTTTATCAAACACTGTACAATGTAGTGGTCTGTAAAAAGGTGGGTAAACCCACAGTAGGTAATGATGAGCTGTTGCAAACACCAATAGATGTAAAACTATAATATTTTAATAGGAGCGTTCATCTTTCATTCTAGTGTTTTAAGTATTCCTTAATCATACACTTAATCATCACATTAACTACACGCTGTGGGCTTCTGTCCCCAGTTATGTGCTGCAAAAATCAATGATAGCACAAAGTAGTAAATATCGGTGTCCCTGCAGCGAGTTCAAAAACAACACTTACCAGATACTCCTTGGGGCTCTGGGGCAGGATGGTGCGGCCCTCCCTCCAGTGAGGCCCCTGGTCTCCCTTTTGAGCCCACAGCAGCGTCTCCTCCTGGTCGCTGTCCCTCAGCAGGACCCTCAGGCTCCCCTGGGCCTCCCCCTGGAGCTGGTAGTAGAAGAGGAGGCAGAGCGGGCCCCGCTCCGGCCCCACCTCAGGGCTCAGCAGCCGGGCTCGCTTGCGCTGGGTGTGGGCGCCTGCATCCAGGTGGAGGTAGTTCCCTGAGAAATCTGGCGGAAAGGAAGAGACCGAGAGTTAGGGGATGCTTCATTATTGTATTATTGCAGGATCAGCGATGTATTATAGATTCATTACTTGTAACAAATGATACATTCGTGACCTTTAAACTGATTCATCACCCCTCCCTTTAGCGTGGGGATGTAAGTTCATGGTTTTGCCTGTGCTATTTGCATTTTATTCTTTTAATTGATTCCATTTGAATGAGTTTTATGATTTGTGACAGTGCTGCAGCGCCACGCCGATTCCTCCTCCTCGCTGGTGAAACAGGCCCGACGTACAGTATGATGTAATAATGCAGTGGAATGTGGGTTCTTAGCGTTTAAGCCATTACCTCCATCATCCTGTGGTACGAGGCTTAAACCGCAAATGAGACTGCCATTTCATCGTGGCCACTAATGGCTATGGATACAAATGAACGCGCATGCATACACACACAAACACACGCACGCACACAATCGTGCTAAACAGCCCTAATCACTCTGAATGCTGACACCTCGTTCTGTTGCTCTCTCCGATTTTGCTACTTAGTCAGCACAGCCATCATACCAATACAGTTACAATGCTTGTGAACGTATAGCGTATCGCTGTGTGTGTGTGTGCTTCCTCTACACACACACACTCACTCTATCCGTTTTTTTAAAATCTAATTCACTTCCTTTCTCTCCTCTCAGCTCAAATAATTGATGGACAGAGAGCAAAGATGGTAAAGGGAAGGGAGGGAGAGAGAGAAAAAAGGCAGTGCTACAATGTTTTCCCCATCCCAAACAGGACCATAATCATTAGCTTGCTGCTGTGTTGTGGCTGTGTGTCTAGTTTGTCTAATATGGCCGCAGAGTAAAAGCTTTGCTGGAGCTGCAAATAGTCTTTTTATCGACAAACAGACGCTGTGTGTGACAACTCATAAGGAGAGAGAGAGAGAGAAAGGGAAGAGAAGCTATCTATCTATCTATCTATCTATCTTCACGTCTGTTCTCCCTGCCTCAGCTAAGACACAAAGAAAACACTGGACAGATTTTGCAGCACATCACACTTAATGAATAATGGATTTGGGTTGAGGTAACTCTGTTTCTTCACTTCGAGGCAATGAAGAAGGGGACCTCAATTACCGTTGCTCATTAAGTACAGTTAGGGAAAGTTGCAGTGTTTTTCTGTTTCTCCTCGTTTGATCTTGGTGAACGTACAAAGGGAGGGAATTAATTAACAACTCTCCATGGGAGGGATAGGCAGGGATGTAGAATTGGCTCGGAGGGAGGGAGGGAAATGTGTGTAAGTGTGTGTGCATTGGCGTCTTTTGCAGTTCATTTGTGGGTATCTTTGTTTGTACGAATCTGTGTGTGTGTGCGTGCGTGAGTTTTTCTGTCAGTCAGTGTGTGTGTGTGACTTTATCATTTTGGATTTATGTAGATGTGTGCAGTATCTATGTGTGTATATTATGGGTGTGTGTAGTTTGAATCTAGTTATATTATGCGTATGTACCTTCACTTCACGACAAAGGTGAGCATGGGCAAAGAAGTTGCAGAAAAAGTGCATGTGTAAACTACCATACACTGCACAACTGCACTTAACTGCACACAAAGCGTGACAGGGCCATTTCTTGTGTTACACAGATTCTTAACATGTTAAATGTTTTGCAGATAGATATAGTAAAAACATTTTGTGACTACTTTAAAAAGTTTCTGCATTGCTTTTTTCTTAGTCAGCAGTATGTAAATGTAATTTCCAGTTGATGTTGGTAATTGCAATTGAAACATGTTTCACTCGCTACTGTCGGTTGTACAAGTCTACTTAATCTGCGCTTGTTTTTCAGTTTTAATCCTTTTCTTTTACAACTGTTTATACTTGCTTGTGTGTTTTGGGTAATAGATATTCTCTGTGTTACGTGTTCTTTTTTGTTCATTTGTCGTTTGTCTTTGATTTGTAATAATGTTTGCTTAAATAGGAAAGGACTCACTTTTGGATCCTTGTGTTGCATTATTTCAGCTAATCTTAGTCAACTTTGTGTACAGGTTGTCAAGATGAGATCACAGAAAGAGAAGCTGATTGGTTTATATTTTGTATCTCTGTGACACCTGTTGGATCACATCAAAACAACTCAAAGTGACACAATCAAATAATATATTATGATCTTGTCTCTCTTTACCTTCTTTTAACCCTCCCTCATTCTCGCTTCCTCTCCTTATCAATAACGTAACCATTTCAGACGACGAGTAGTGTGAAGGGTTTCTTTCGATGAAAATCTCCACAGGGTGTAGAATTGGAGTCTTGCCGTATCTGAGATCAAAAGAATAACTTAGGAGCTCCGTTCGGGTCGGATTTTCTCTGTTACAGAAAAAAAAACCTAAAAGGGCTTTCAGCGACAGGGGATGGGGATTTGATTTGCATATCGAGACAGCTTCCAGACAGGGCGCCGCGCTAATGTTGCTGTAGAACAAGACTTAACGTCATGTTGCTGTCTAACACGGACACAGTGACGCTGCTATATCATTTACACACATGCGCTCATGACACACACACAGCAGCCTAGTGTGATGTCGAGCCTCGCCTTATGTCACGGCCCTGTCTGTTTAGAAAGGAGCTGCTCAGTCAACCATAAACTGGAGGGCTTGAGCACACACACAGAAAACCTTGAGTGAATGGCAAGGTCGTGTGTGTGCGTGTGGGAAACAAACCCACACATGCTGAGTGTTTAATACGCGGGCAGTCCCACCTTGAGTGGTTTGCGTAAGTGTGTGTGTGTGTGTGCGGGGGGGGGGGGGGGGGGGGGGGGGGGGGGGGGGGCCTCAGGAGGAGCTGGAGAGCTAAGGCAGCACTTCTGTCAAAGCCATCATCTGACTTATCAGAGCGCTCTGGGTGATGCGTTAGCCTTATGGGCGTACAAGTACAGAAAGTATGTCTGTGTGTGTGTGTGAGAGAGAGAGAGAGGTACGTGAGGCAGTGAAAGTGTGTGTGTGTGTGTGTGTGTGTGTGTGTGATAAAACAGTCTTGGTTATCCTCTTGCTGTCTCATTAAAGATAGACAGATGTGGAAAAAGGCAAGTACCACTGAGGGAAATAGGAAAGAGGTCAGTGAGGAGAGGAAGAGGTGATCACAGTGATGGAGTGAGAGGGATGGAAGTGGAAAGGAACTTAATATACTGTAGCATGAGTTGGAGCTGAAAAAGATGACTGGAAGGATGCAATGACCGAAGCATGGTGAGGGTAACAAGTAGAAATGTGAGCGGACATACAGTTGAAGTGACGTTAAAGGTGAACAAAACGTAGGCTGAAATGAAAGAAAAGAAAACAGAGAAAGGAGGAGAAGAAAGAGGCTGAAGTAAGGTTATTACAGCATACGAAAGGAACAAGCAAAAAGATGCTACAAGAGTGAATAAAGAACAGAAATTAAGTGAAAAAGAGGAAAATGTGAGAGTTAAACTCCAAGAATAGACAAAGGAAGTTGTGGATTAAAAGCAAAGGCTGACAGAGAAACGAGAGAATAAAGTTACAAACTAGGTTAGTGAAAGTGAGACTGTTGAACCTAACATTTTTTGAAGAAGAAGAAACTCCAATTAAGTCACAGCCGTACACCCTTTTAGCAGATCAGAGTGAAATCCTTGCATCACAGTTGCTGTCAGTGGTTCCTCCCAGCACTGGGATCTGTAACTTACAACCACTTTGCTCTTAATTACCCACAGAAGTCTTCCATCATCCCAATATGACGGTGCTTTCTTTTCCGTGTTTATAGAATGAGAAATGTCTTGAAATGAAGAATACCCAGCCAGATGACAACTTGAATGTGAAAGTTTTCCCAAAGTTTGAATGTTTGATGAGATTGAAGTTTTCTATTGGGTCCTCAGCGTTTGGACAGGGACGTTTCTACATTGTGTGTGTGTGTGCGCAAAGTTTGATGATGATTAATATGATAAATGTATTGCTGTTTTATTGGCAAACTTATGTTCTGTTACATATTCAGTGTTATGTATTTCTGGTAGTTTCTGGTGTTTAAAATCTCAGGCTTAGGCTTCATGTGGAAAATAGGTGGAGTGTCCCTTTAAATTCTTTTCATTAAGCTGCCTTCCATAACAATGTACGTGTATTTTTGGTAATGTTATTTGGATGTGATTGCTGGAAACAGCAGAGGAAGTGACTTAAATGCAATATTGATTCAATCCAGAAAAACATGTTTCCGGCACAGACTCTAAACTCTCCCATGATACATTTGTGTTAATGGCGACATACAATTTGGGGAGTGACTGAGCTGAAACTTTAGTAATACAGTGTAAAAACTGAGAAAAAGGATTTCTCCAAATATTTGATATTACTTATAAAAATGCCATGTTGTCAAACGTAATTGCGGGTGATTGGAAACAAATCAGTACTCACTGTCTGATCCCAGCGCCAGGTCCTGCCTCGTTCCATGAGAGCCGTATCCAGTGGAACTGCTGCTGGCTGTGTGCAGAGACCAGCTCACACCTGACTGGGGATCAGCCGACCAGCCGCACAAGCTCTGCTCAAAGTCACACACGGCCGACAGGGACGGAGTGGTGGCTGTTGGTCGCGAAAGAGACACATAGATTAGGAATAAAAATGTTTGATAGAGCGCCTGCTTCAGCAAATATTCACTTTTTTTTCCTCAGCATCTTGTAATCCTTGCCGTGATGCTTTTGGAGGTATTCCCATTGTGTTTAGATGTTTTGGCAGTTTTCATGCATTATGTCATCTCAGTATGTATCATGGTGAATACAAATATTAGAGTACAAGAGAGATAATGTGGAAAGAGAATGAGCTCGACAGAAGGAGCTGAGGAGAGGATAAAAAAAGCGAACATAGATGCACTTGCTGTCCCTGCTCGCTGTATTCAGTTTAAGTCACTGCCTTCAGTTATGTAGCAACAAACCATTTAAAACTAGATCCCGAAACCTTTTTCTCCTTAACCTGCCTGACAGTCACTGACATACACCTGTGACATCATATTCTCATTATGCGTTTGTGTGAGAAGGTGAGATCCTGGCTGTGAGAGCTTATTTTCCTTCAAACAGAGCTTCCTGTGGGACCCTTTGCATCTAACAGACTTCAAAGCCCAGAGGCCCAGGGGGTGTAAGATGACATCATGCGTTTGACCTTAAGAGTGTGAGCGTGTGTGGACGAGAGACAGAGACGACATTACTGCATGTGTGCTTGAAAGAAATCTGCATGAGTGCGTGTGGAGATGCTGTGTGTGAGATGCTTGAATTAAGTGTGTGTGTGTGTGTGTGTGTGTGTGTGTTTACCGGGTCTCATTGCAGCAGTGGTCTGTTCCACTCTGGGCAGGGTGGGGGTCACAGTGTCCGGTATAGTGGTGATTTCTGTCATCATGAAAAGAAAAGAAGGTTAGAATAGAATGACATGGCAGAAGATATATGACAAATGTTGCGTGAGCTTTCATATGTAAACTAACATTCGGCCTTGTATTCGCCGATCATAACAAGTTATGTTTCCGTCTTGTCCAAAAGATCATCATCAGCTATCAGCATCCTAGCTAACAATGTTCATGAACAACACGTCACGCTAACTAGCATGTTGCTGTCACCGGCTGCATGCTGCTCAACACACATTAAGCCACTCTAAACAATTAACCACAGCATTAACGCATATATATATGTTACAGCACATGTTAAACAATTTTAAATGCAAGCACTGAGTTAAGCTGCTCTAATTTAGTTGGATTGACCGCCAACACACTCAAACGGTCTAATAAGTAGAGACAATACTGGATATACAATAACCAAAGCTAAGCTTTTAAATATTCACAATTTGCTCTACAGCTACTTCACATCACACTGGAAAATAGTAACATTTAGCAGTGATGTTTGAGCAAAGTAAGATGAAGGTATTACACAGTAACTATTGATGTCGAGCAGAGTAAGATGAAGGTATTACACAGTAACTATTGATGTCGAGCAGAGTAAGATGAAGGTATTACACAGTAATTAATGGTGTTTCAACACACTTTGCTGTTGTTTTCCAGGACTGTGTATTAAGACTGAAGTTTGTCATTATCCAGGCGGTGACACAGTTAGCTGAGGCAGTGAGCTGGCACTCAGCTGAAGAATGTGCCACACTGCAGGTTGGCACACACGCACACACACACACACACACACACACACACACACACACACACAGCTATGATGATAGATGCTGCACTCACACTGACCTTGGAGCACAGCAGCATGCGACCAGTGTATGATGGATCAAACAGAGGCACCCACACACAGACACACACTGACACACACACACACACACACACACACACACACACACACACACACACACACACACACACACACACACACACACACACACACACACACACACACACACACACACACACACACACACGTCAGCAGTGCGGTATGTCATCGTAACCTCAAGACCTTCTGGTCTTAATAAGCAGTTTTCTACAGTTAGTTAAGGTTCCTTAAACGGCCCTGAATGCTTTACCAGCTCCCTCTCGCTCACGTGTGAAAGAAAGCCTATACGTTGACGTAAGGGAACAGAAGATGGTCGGGCTTGAGCGGCACAGGGCTGACGCCACAAACCTCTCGCCAAATTATTCTTAGAAATTACTGCTTTCTCTCTCATTTTCTGCCATTCATCTCATGTTCCGTCTCTCATTTTTCTTTCCTCCCTACATCTGTCATCGGGCTCTGCACATCTCCTCCCTCTTTCTCTCCTCCCTCTGTCATTTGTCACAATAAATCTGACCACTTTCAGTTCTGCTGTGCAAAACCACTATCAACACCACAAAAAGCTCTTTCCACACACACACACACACACACACACACACGCCCACAAACTTGATCTCTCTTTTTCTCTACCTCTCCGGCGTAGAAGCGAAACCCTATCTAGTCTTGTTTCTCTTTTACCACAACCGCAATTTTCTTCTCCATAACTCTCTCTCGCTCTCTTTCTGTCATCTCTCCCTGAAGCATATTTTGATTTCCACGTGTCCTTTGCTTTTGTCTGCCCGCAGATCTTTTTCTCTCTGTGTTAAGATTGCATCTCTTTCTTTTGCTCTTTTTCCTACAATCTCCGGCTCTCCTCTCAACCTTTTCTATCACTTCTCTCTGTGCTGCAACTCTGTCTCGTGGTGTTATTTTATGTCGGTTCTAACCGCCAGCTCAGTAAATCCAAAACCACTGTTGATTTACTGCTTGTTTGGATGTTCTAGATGTTTCCATAACTGACTCGCTTGGTGATCTGCATGCGTGTGTGTAGTATCTTGTTTAGCGTGAACTCCTAACCTTTGCTAATAGCTTTGAGTTTGCTGCAGCTCTGATGTGTATTGTGTATGTGCATAACTTTATTGAGTTGTTAACACAGTCTGCTTATAATGAAAGTATGCAGGATTATTATGTAAGCCCAAACAGAGAGGCCTCATGTTGCCGTACCAACACACACAGAGCAAGCAAACGCAGGCACGCACACACGCACACACACACACACACACACGTTCATATACAGAATTAGATATCGACATTGGATAAGTAGATCCCAGCTGCTGACATTAAGCTGTTTTAATTTGGTGCCCTTTACCACTGTAATTAGCCCCCCCATATGGAGGGAAGAGAGGGAGGAATGGAGATGAGAGAGAGAGAGACATGGAGAAGGGAACACAACCTTTTCAACCTCTCACCACCATTTTCCTAATTAGTGACCACACACAGCTCCTGTCAGCCTCCCATTTCTAACTCCATCTCATCTCAACCCGTCTAATCCAATTTTGCTCTCTGTCCATCGTCCCCTCTCCTGTTATTTCTCCCTCTCCTCTTCATCATCTTCCCTTTCTCCGTCCTATTTCGGGGCCCTCTCTGTAGCTACTGTAAAGGTCAGTAAACTAATATGAATGAATTGCTTTACGCTCATTTTAAGTGTGTTACTGTAGTTCTTATGTAATACACTTTTTAACTTGCTTTCTTGTGTCTGCTGAACTAAATGTGACAAGACGCTAAAGTGCGTTTAGTCACTTCTGTGGGAAAAGTCAGGATTGATAACAGAGTCGGACATGTTTTAAACATAAAGATTCAAACTGGGAAAAGAAACAGAAACATTCTGCAGAAGGGTCATCCTGAGCACCACTGAGTTACAGCAACCTGCCATCACTCTCTTTTTCTTGCTCTCTCACACACACACACACACACACACACACACACACACACACACACACACACACAAACACACCTCAAACCGAGAAACAGAAGGTTTTCGGTTCGATTAACCGCACACGCACACACACACGTGCACGCACACTGTCATAGGCCCAAGGGCTCATTGTAAAGCTGCTGACTGAGCAGGGCGAGGCAGAAACAGAGAGACGAAAAACTGTTCAATTATGGAAAGAGCTCTGGGTATAAATCTACCTCTGTCAGCCTGAATAATGACTACTGACACAGTGTGTGTGTGTGTGTGTGTGTGTGTGTGTGTGTGTGTGTGTGTGCCTGAGTAAGAGAGAATGTCGTCCTTACTCAAATTATTGGTGACAGTGCATGTGTGTGTTGGTAGGAGTTTCCTTTACTTAATGAGTATGTGGTTGACTGACTGACTGAATGGCAGACTCATTGTGTGTGTGTGTGTGTGTGTGTGTGTGTGTGTAGCTTTAATGACCATTAACTATTTTACCGCTGGCTGACCTGTCTGCTGTAGGTATCTATTTACTGATAGTAGGATTTCCTTTTAAAAAGACATTTTCAAGTGACATAAAACTGTATCCAGCAGCACTATCTATAACAGGGTATACTTGCTATATACCAAGCTGTATACATTTGGAAGGAGTAGAAAATGTGTACTTAGGGAAAGGAAACTTGGAAACTAGTAAGCGAAATTTGAGTTATGGCACTGCCAAGAATGAGACAAATGTTGAAGTATGACATCAAATGAGACGTGATGGTGGAAAACATGAGCGTTTTTAGATGAAAATCATTGCCAGTGATCTGAATGGCAAATCAGACAACTGTACTTAAATACCAAAAGTGCAGGTTTGATTTATATGTAGCTTAAAGTGCTCGACTAATTATGGCTCCCTCTTCAGCAGAAGAGTGGGCAGGAAAATGAGTTCTTCACAGCAGGAAACTCTTTCGAGACTAAATACCTAATTAGCCCATTGTACAGCATGCTACCAATAATATCTGCTTTTACGGTAAGTGCTGCACTGGACCACGAGTTTGAATGCCTGGTAGATGGAGAAGGAGAATGTCTCTAAACCAGTAAAATATATAAGTATCGGTGGTATAAGACCAAGCACCAATAACGGAGCTTGGCTAAAAAGAGGCAAAGAAGCAAAGCAGAGAAGCTCTTTATGTCAGGAAACTACTGACAATGAATTGCTCATTAGTCCATTGTGCAACAAAGCACCACAAGGTATGTGACTGCAACTGCAGCCTTAAGTGTGAGGCTAAGTACGACAACAACTGGGATGATAAAAAGAAGCTGCTGGCAATGAATAGCTAAAGGCATCAGTGAGCAGTAGTCAGCTACAAAGGAAATGAGTTTAAGTGTGGCAAAAGCCATTAAGCTAAGTATGCCATTAACTCCGCTGGACAAAAGAAAGACAGCTTTCTAGATCACCAAGCAGTAATATGTTAACAAGGATATGGTTTAAACAACTTCCAAGGCCCAATCAGTACTTCTTAGCCATATTAAATTAAAGGTATGTCGATAGACTGTATGCACATTTTGGGTCATGGATGAAACACGTGTGTGTGTGTGTTTCTCTGCACATAAAATCAAATCTATTGTATCAGGATGAACTTGCGATGTATCATCTTGTTTTAAAGGGGATCCCAGACCCACTTAAACATTACTGAAAATATTGGCTTATTTTTATGTATTTGGTTTAAAGACTTGAGAATGATTGCAGGTTCTTATTCTGTGTTATGGGTAAATGGATAGTTGGATGGAAGGATTTTTTGATGGATGGATGGAAAAATAGATAAGGAAATGGAGAAAAAGAGGCAGGCACATCTGGGAAATACTGCAAAGAGGTGGCGAGCCAAAGCTAAATATTTATGTTGGAAAAAATACAAGCATTTTTGCACACAGACACATATAAACACACATGCAGCCACAACGAACCAGTACTCAATTCTGAGTGTTTCCATGTGTGATGTCTCAAGATGGAAGAGAGGGAAGTGATGAACTAAACTGTCCTCTTGACGTGAACGGAGTAATGAAAATTACTTCGGAACATCTTTGGGCGTGCGCTTGACTTTCAGGCAGTCAATACTGGAACATCTTTGTCTGTAGCGTATTGTGTGTGTTGGATCCCCTCTACAGTGGTGGGCAATTGATTTATTCGTCACTCAAGCGT